CCTAGTTATAAAAGTTAATTTAAGCATCGATTTCATCGATCGTGAGGAATCCGTCGTTATTTTTGTCCATCAAATAAAACTCATACTTCATATCCTTATCGGCGGCCAAACCCTCGGTTGAGACATAACTAAGTGTCTCCACATATGAAGCCCTGCCGTCTCTATTGGCGTCCAAACGGGCAAAAACTTGCGTAACGTTATTGACTGTCAGGGCGTTAGTTGTGGTCAAACCATTGGTCGTACAGCCGGACGCTATATTCCAGCACCACATGCCTGAGTGACCAGCCCTACAGCCGCCATCGCAATTGCAACCAAATATGTTGCAATTGCCCACGCCGCAATACGTATTGGCCGCGGTGCAATCATAGCATGTGCGACCTTGGTCAGGGCATGTTATCGGCGCCGTACAACATTCAGCGGCCGATTGGTCAACATTGATCATCAGTACGACGGCAGACAATAAAGTTGTGATAGTTATTGTTGAGTTCATCTTGATCAGTTTTATTTAATTATTGTAAATTAATTTTGTATTAACTGTTATAATTTCTATATGCTTTCTTCAAAGTATTTATACAAAAATTAATTTGATTTTCTAAATAACATTTATGTCATATCTATTGTGTAACTGCTATGAGAATATTCAAGTGTTTTTTACCTGTTTCATTTTAAATCTGAAATCAATAACTGGTACGTAATTTTACGCTTCAAATAGAGTGACCATGTTTGTGATTTATTAATTAATTTTAAAATACTGTGTGAACTTAGTTAATTGCATATCAAATATCAATGTTTAGGATTGTTTGTCACTTTCATTACCAATGTATTATTCACATGTCTGTTTGTATAAATCTAGATATAAGTGTGTGGTATTTATTTTAGACTATTTTAATTTAAAATATCTGTCAACTCTACCTTTATTTGAAGTGTTTGTAATTATTTGAAGTTATCAATATATGATTATAATTCTAGATTGCTAAACACTTTCTATACAACTAGATAATTTAAACAATTATTAGTAATAGGTGATGTATAACAAATAAACTAACTTCTAAAATCAGTATTATTTTAAAACTTATATTATTATATCAATACTATATAAATTATACTAAATTTAAACTTTACTTTATATAGTAAATTATCTCACTAAATTAAAAATGAATTGTTTTACTTTTATTTTGGATTATACCTGCTGATATTGTTCATCACATTTCTAACTAATTGCAATAATAGTGACGTATATTTCATGTGAATTTAATCCAATGTTTTTTATTGACTATGATCATGTGGTAATTATGTACTTCAACATTTATCAAACGGATATTTGATTATTACTTTACAATATACCGTAAACAAATATATTTTAAAAATAAATATTTATAAACTAAGATCATTGAGGTAAAATATTTTCTTGGGTCCACTCGGGTAGACATACAGATCGGGGCGCATACCTAATAAATAAAGTATAACAAAAGATTCCATTTTTCGTTAGTAAAAACATCCAAATTCGGGAATAAAAGAGTCAAAATCGGGAAAGTTCGGGAATTATGATTTTATTCAATTATAACACAATAATTATGCATTTAAATCATTTACAACTGAATTGTATTTAATAATGATATGAAATTTAAGCATTTCTTCAGTTAATCAATGCCTTCTCTCTGAAGAATAATCTTAAAGTGAGAGAAAGAACACTCGACTCAATCAATGCATATTTTGTAAGTCATCTTATCTCAAAATCTTATGGATATAAAACAGGTTTTGATATACAGTTATATTCAGTTTAGATTTCTATTTAAAGTTTTGATAAAATAGTTATAAAATAAATTGTTTTTCTCTAAAAAAAATTGCCTAATTTCGGGAATATTAGTCACAAAACTTGACTTTTCGGAAATTTTCTCAAAAATATGCTAAAATCAGGAATTTTCTTAAAATAAGCCAAAATCGGGAAAAATCGGGAAAATAAAACTTATATATTTTTAGTCTATTATAACCCATAAACCTAATGGTATATAATTCCCAATGATTTTGTTAACTATTTTATTCGGGAATTCCCGAAAAATGGAACCCTTAAATATAACACATTATAACAACTTATGGAGGTGAAACATTTTCTTGGGTCCAATTGGCTGGACATACAGATCGGGGCGCATACCTAATAAATATAGTATAACACATTATAACAAATTATGGAGGTGAAACATTTTCTTGGGTCCAATTGGCTGGACATACAGATCGGGGCGCATACCTAATAAATATAAGATAACACATTATAACAAATTATGGAGATGAAACATTTTCTTGGGTCCACTCAGGTAGACTTACCGATCGGGGCGCATACCTAATAAATATAGTATAACACATTATAACAAATAATGGAGGTGAAACATTTTCTTGGGTCCCAATTGGCTGGACATACAGATCGGGACGCATACCTAATAAATATAGTATAACACATTATAACAAATAATGGAGGTGAAACATTTTCTTGGGTCCACTCGGGTGGACATACAGATCGGGGCGCATACCTAATAAATATAGTATAACACTTTATAACAAATTATGGAGGTGAAACATTTTCTTGGGTCCCAATTGGCTGGACATACAGATCGGGGCGCATACCTAATAAATATAAGATAACACAATATAACAAATTATGGAGGTTAAACATTTTCTTTGGTCCACTCGGGTGGACTTACAGATTGGGGCGCATACCTAATAAATATAGTATAACACATTATAACAAATTATGGAGGTGAAGCATTTTCTTGGGTCCCAATTGGCTGGACATACAGATCGGGGCGCATACCTAATAAATATAGTATAACACATTATAACAAATTATGGAGGTGAAACATTTTCTTGGGTCCCATTTGGCTGGACATACAGATCGGCGCGCATACCTAATAAATATAAGATAACACATTATAACAAAATATGGAGATGAAACATTTTCTTGGGTCCACTCGGGTGGACATACAGTTCGGGGCGCATACCTAATAAATATAGTATAACACATTATAACAAATTATGGAGGTGAAACATTTTCTTGGGTCCCATTTGGCTGGACATACAGATCGGGGCGCATACCTAATAAATATAGTATAACACATTATAACAAATTATGGAGGTGAAACATTTTCTTGGGTCCACTCGGGTAGACATACAGATCGGGGCGCATACCTAATAAATAAAGTATAACAAAAGATTCCATTTTTCGTTAGTAAAAACATCCAAATTCAGGCGCATACCTAATAAATATAGTATAACACATTATAACAAATTATGGAGGTGAAACATTTTCTTGGGTCCCAATTGGCTGGACATACAGATCGGGGCGCATACCTAATAAATATAGTATAACACATTATATTGTTATAGCTCAAATGAAAATGAAGCAGCCTATTATATTGTACAAGTTCAGTTAGAATTAATGTATCAAAACTATGAAATTTGTTTAATAGATTTTGTTATAATGTCATATAAAAATTGTATTATTATTTAGGTTAACATTCTTAGGCAATTAAAATTATGTTTAAAAATATTGGTTAAAAAATAATAAAACCATTTTCATAATTCTAACTCCATTTATCTATAACAATCTATATCATATTTATGTGAATAACCTGTAAATAAATTTATAAATAATAAGACTAATTCCATAATTATAGCTTTACTGCACAATATAGTGGTTCTTATATATTATCATTTATACCAATATTTATGGTACATTAAGGCCGTGTATTTCAAACAATATTATGCAATCATTTATTGTGAAAATCACATAATTTTAGTGATTTTGGATTAACAATGAGATATATTTTACAGATTTTATTATATGAACTAATATTTTAACCACATTATGAAATTAAGCACTAAACTAAATAATCAATATAATACTAAAGATAAAGTCTTGAAACATAATAAAATTTAATATAAATATCTAGATTTTTAGTATAAATTTAATATAACTTTTATTACAAAAACAATCTTGTTTAATATTAAGTTAATTAACAGTTATTATTAATTAACTATGAAAGTTTTGGTCTTATTGTTGGTTTCATTGTCGGCAGTTATTCGTGAGTCTCTCTCTCTCTCTCTCTCTCGACATTTTTAAAAAAATAATTACTATAAATGTTATTTACCCTAAATGTGCACAGCATTTATTATAAAATATTCCTANCTCTCTCTCTCTCTCTCTCTCTCTCTCTCTAGCTTTATAGCTAAATTATATCAATTAATTAACCATGATGACTGTTTATTTAAAAATACACTTATAGTGAGCAGCGCACATGAAGAATTGGCCACCACTGATTCACCACAAGTTGTTAAACTAAAAATGGACCTAGTAACAATCATTCAACAGGTAACGAAAGCAGTTGCTGAATTAAAAAAGAAGGGTCATTATGAAGAGCGTAAAACACTGGTTATTTTGAATAACGAAGTCAGCTTAATTGAACAACAGTTGGCCAATTGCGACCCGGAAACACCGGAAGGTAAAGCCCTATTGGCCAGGCTAGAATTTATTACCGAGGGCGTCCTAAAGGGCTTGAAGGCCGAGATCGATCGTTTAAAGAAGTTAGGATACCTGGACAATTAAACAATATACCCGATCATCAAATACATTTCCCAACATGAATTATTTTACTTAAATAGTTTGTGAATTAGTTTAAAATAAAATTTGTAATTTATATTACTATTAAAGCATGTTTGTGCTTACACAATCGTAATTGTTAGTTTAATATTGGTGAATTATATTTATTTAAAAATTATAATAATTATACAATAAACAGAGTAAGTAAATTATTTGAGATAATTAAAAATCAATATTAATTGTCAATGTTGATAAATTGATGTCGATGTAACATCGACGATGTTAATTTTTCAATACAATCGTAACATCAAAACAAATGTAGAATCGAAACAAAAATACTGTATATAATGTCATTTATAATTTCATTTTTATTGTAACGTAATTGTGGTTTATTTGTAACTTATATTGTTTAAATAATAAATTCAATTGGTTTGACAATAGTATCGCAGTATTGTATCAGCAATTGGTTGACAGCATTGATGTCCGCATCACTCGATTCACGCATTTCTTCGCATATATTCACAAATATTTGCATTTTACTGATTGCATACGTATTCTGAAAATTAATTAATAATTTATCATATTAATTAATTCTATCATTATCAATAAATTAATTGTATATATACTTGGCCTAAAGTATAGCACTTGTTGTGAAAAGTGTCAACGAGTTTGTGGTAACACTTTCTGTTATTGATCTGTAGTTTACTATTGAGTACAACATTGGCCTCAATTCCCGGCAATGAATTCACGTATTCCTCGATCTGTTTGTCCATTAATTCCCGATTTCCTAACAATACCTCCAATTCATTCGCATATCTATTTGTTTATAATTAACAAACTTTTAATTAATTTTAAATATTAATTATTTTATAAATAATAAACCTTTGTTTTAATCCCAATTCATTAGTGTTTTCAATCATACGCTGAGCCAAATATAATGGTATATCCGGTATCGGCACTGAATTTACTAATTGATTAGACTCTTTATAACCCGCACTAATAGAAATTTGTTTATCACCTAGAGTATTTAAATAATGTAAATTGTAATATTAGTTTATTATTAAATTCTTAATTTTATTACTAACCAAAATAATTAGATAAGTGTTCGCCCGCTATTGACAAATCACCATATTGTTGTGCATGCTGATTAGTATACTACATATTAATAAATAATTTTTAACACAATTATTAAATAAATTGTACAATGTACAGTGAAATAATAATATTAAAAAATTATATTTACCCTGTGCGCTATGTAATCATACTGGGCGGCAATAGACTCCTTGGTCAAGTCATGATTCTCTGTATCGCTAAGCCAATCGGCCGCGAATTTAAATGCTGCATAATATTATACATCTTATAATTAATTATATAATATGCATCTTAAAGTTATAAATCAATATTTAGTTTAATAAAATTTGCTTTATATTATTGAGCATAATCAAAATAAAACAAACATATCTAGATTAAACAACTTGAAAACATACATAAACATGTTCTACGTTCGTCTTCCATGCAAGGCGTGGACCAACCAAGCTCATCGGGTCGGGTGGCAGTCATGGCGTATACGCTGATGTTGTTTGGCAATAGATTCTCAAACATTGAGCCTGGTTAAAAACACATATCATTCGATTAAATAAAATTTACAATAAATAAAGCCAAAAATAAAATTTTTAATAATAAACATAAAATTACCTGAATGACATGCGTGTAAATAAAACACTAGGNACATATCATTCGATTAAATAAAATTTACAATAAATAAAGCCAAAAATAAAATTTTTAATAATAAACATAAAATTACCTGAATGACATGCGTGTAAATAAAACACTAGGTGTTTAAATTTATGTTCATTATGCATTGCTGTCAGGGTTTGGATCAGATCTTCAGCCATAAGATTACTTTTTGGAAACACAACGTACCCTAAATGTGCACAGCATTTATTATAAAATATTCCTAGTAGTATAATTTAATTATTTACTAGCCTGGTGCTCCATGGTCATCTAAATAGACAAATACGCGATCGTTTGGACCGCTTTTAAGCACTCGTTTGCCTTTCTTGACTAATTCCTCGTCACCGCGAAGTATACCCAAAAAATTCTGCGAATGGATAGTCATTGCGATTGAATTGCAAAATAAATAAATAATTAAAAATCTAGTAATACCTGTGGTGTGACATCTTCTCCGGTATAATCTTTAGGGACCCCATCATAGACATCGGGTCCGCCATATTTGTTGATTATAATACCGGGGGTCGGGTTGGATGTGTCGAACGCGATGTCGTCGTAATGCATGACAATTATGTTTTCATCGGGTATTCCGTGTGAGTGAATCA